AGTGTTCTCCTTTTTTTTAAAAGAATCGATAAACAGAATCGAAAATGGAATCGGAATCATGAAAATCTTATCAATACCCATCCCGTTGACCACAGAAACTTTTATTCTGTTGTTATAAGCAGAAAGGATCAAACTCTACAGCACAGACGTCATTTTCCATCGTGAGACACTGACAGCGATAATAACATTCACACGACTTATGTTGTATGAACAGATATGAAGGTCTTTGTCAGCAGGATATTGATGCCCTTCTTCACATTTTCCATCCTGTGACCCAAACTGAAATCTTTATTTCAATTCTGGTCCCTGGGCCTTATGTTTGACATGCCAGCTCTAGAGGTTTAATCATCTTCATCTTGATTATCTAACATCTGAAATTGTGATGTTGCAGCAATAAAATTTTCAACATATTTTTTGATTTGAGGAATTTTTGGAGGAAGACGCAAAGTATTGAAATCATCAAAGAGATTTATTTTTTTAATATAGTCCACCGAAATCCAACAAAGCATCTCTGTGAGAGCTCTCTCCACAGCACAGACTTTAAGTTTCACTTAATGCTGAGTCCACAGTTCAGCCGAAGCAGCGAGTGATGGCCAGGGTGTGGTCTATTTCCTGCTGCTGGAGCACAATCAGGCGTTGACTGAAGAGTTTTAAATGGTGTGTCCACCCAGCTCAGTGTGGGTGTCATCACCTCTTCTCAGCAGAATGAAGCAGAAAACAAAGAGCTGACCAAAAATAAAAAAGTGAAGGTGCACAGGAACTCCTCCTGCCAGCACACAGCTGCACTTGTGACAGGCAGGACATCAGCATGTAAAGTGTGGGTTACACACTCAGGCTCAGTTTGAAAACAGTGTCAAGTCGTTTTCTTTTAGCTCGTGTCTCTACAAACAGTTCATGTCTGAATACTTTTAGCTGCAGTTCTTGTTGAGAATCAGGATCTCCAAGTCAGGAGCCATTGTTCTCAGCAAGAACAGGGTGGAGCGCCCACTCTGGGTGTAGCAGTGTCTCAGGGTCCTGCAGCCACCGGCTGCAAGGTTCCTCCACTCAAATCACACTTGTAGAGTAGCACAGTTTTTGTTGTTGAAGAGTAAAGACACAGTTGTTGTTGGCTGTTCCAAAATCTGAGTGTCCTTGAACTACTCACCAGCTCTGAATTATCTGGGAAACTTGTGTGTGTGTGTGT